GTTGCTAACATTCACGGATAATAAAAAATAACATAATAATAATAATAATAATAATTTTATAATATAACATTTACGGATATCACAAAAATGGGAGTGAGAGACATCTATAACTGAAATCGGCAATTACTTAGTTGCCAACCCAATATATTCTTTATTTTAAGGAAGAATTTTATTCTTTATATGCCAGAAAGATATTTTGTAAATATCGAATTTTATGCATTTGTGGAGAAAATGCGAAGAGGAAATAAGGTAGAAATGTTCAAGAATTTTAAGAGCGTGGATACGTTATGCTTACAATCGGCGCAAACAATTTTTATTTTGCATAAACATCCGCCGTCTAGCAATCACAATTATATAACTACGATACGAGCACAGAATTTCAATGGTACCACAACGTTCGAGTTTCCCGGGAATCTCCAATGTCTCCCGCATTTTGAGAATTCCCCCGGCGTTCGTCGAGCGATAAATAACTTTTACGATTGCTCGGTGTCCGCGGAATAGCGTCTGCCAAAAATTCGGACCGTTCTCCGCCATTCTCCTTCCACGTGAATCGTAGTTCAGCAAGATTCCCGAAAGTTTTCGTGTCGGAGCCGCGTCGCGCGTTAAAGTTTGATTGTCGCAGCGCCGGATGTTCGCCGATAGGCGAGCGCGCGGGCATAGTCGCTCTTTAAAACTCACCTAAGCGATGAACGGGACTGAAACGGACGAGGCTCAGAGCACCGTGATCCAGATCGCAGTTTCGCCTCCTGGCCCGTTCCCTGGCGAGCTTCGCCCGCCTCCTCAGGCAACAGATCACCATGAGCGCCAGCAACGGGAATCCAAGGATGCACGATACGATCGGTATAATGATGCTCTCCGGAGTCACTGGAAAGCAAAGCGCGAATTTCTCCGGCTATGAGAGCAGCCTTTTCTGCCGGAACTTGCGCGGAAGTTTCGGTTTCATGGGTCCGATTACGCTAACCCCCCCGCCGAATATCGGCGCGGCCCGCGAATAACAGAACGTGCCCGCAGGTGCGCGTTGCCCTCCCGGTTCGCTATAGCGATATGCAACGTATACATGTTGCATCGATCAGTTGTGCAGGGGAACGAGGTCCCATAAGGAAGCCTTGTTACGATTCGTCCGAACCGTATTTCGCCGGCGTTTCTACTCCCGCGGTTGCCGCGTCCAAGCCTTTTCTTGTTCGACGTAAACATTCTGTCTGGTAGAGCGAACCTCGACGAAATTTACGAGCGGGACCATGTGTGCAATGTTTCGAACCGAACGATTGTTGCAAACTGAAACGTTTGACGGAGAGAACCGGCGGCGTTTCGGACCGTAGACCGTAGACGTTGTCGACAGTTGAACGATTAATAATGGCCGGAACCATTTGTAACTTTTCTAACTGTGCTCGCGCATTTTTCTGAAACATATTTTTAGAAGCGCTTCTCCTGGACAACTTGATCTTCCAAGCGCAACGAATTAAAGAGCTATCGATTTCGATTATTCGTTGCAACGCTGAACAACGGGACGATGCTCTTTTTATCCCTTTGCGCTACGATGTCTTTAGCGATAGATCACGATGATTAGCAGTTCGAAGTCTCGAATAAATTCGAAATTGCGAATAAATAATCTCGAAATTGTATTACATTGTGTAACTAGTGGATTTACGATTCGTGTTCTCGTTAAATGGTTTTAATCGTACAATTCGCTGCCGCGTAAACCGAAAATAATTCGCTTTACAGTAATGTCTCTCTAATTGATTATCCAGATTGTCCACGAAAATAGACAATTTGAGAAGAGAAGACACGATTATTCGAGCCTCGCGGTTTGTCTTTACAGATACGAATCGTCAACAATTATAAAAACGAGCCGCAAAGTTCGGATAATCGTATCTCCTCTTCCAAAATTGTCAATTTTCGTGGACAATCTGAGCGTCAGTAAGGGAGACATTACTATATACGCAAAATCAACAATACCGATGCCTTTTTCATCCCTTTGCGCTACGATGTCTCTAGCGATAGCCACGATGGATCGGCAGTTCATTGCCTCGAATAAATTCGAAATAGCGAATAAATAATCTCGAAATTGTATTACATCGTGCAACTCGTGGATTTACGATTCGCGTTCTCATTAAATGGCTTTGATCGTACAATTCGCTGCCGCGTAAATCGAAAATAATTCGCGTTACAGGCAAAATCAAGTTGTCCCGGCTGTAATTAACTGGTGATTTACGCGGTGTAACACACGATTCCGTGTGTACGTTAACATTACCCGCTCACCTGTTGGATACACTAGAATCGTCGGTCTCTTCGACTGCGGTATAGTCGGCATCGTTGGTCGACCCGCTCTGATCTCGACCGACATTTTCCTCTCGATCTGAAAACAGAATCGGTCCTCCCCTTTAGCCAGCTCCCCGTTAAATCGGGATTTAAAAAATTCCGCAATCTAGTCACGCGCCCCTTCTCCAATTTCGCCGGGAAAGTAGCTTCTATCTTCCGGGCAACCTCGTGCGAAAACCATTCGAGCCGGGACGACGTTCGTTACCAGCCACGATTCAGTCTTCGTTGAATGAAGCTCGGAGCCTCTGGCGTTTCCCGATTTTCTAATTTTCCTCCTGCCTCAGCCTAATGCCGCCGCCGTGCCGGGAGCTAGGCAATCGCAAACATCAACACCGAATCCCAATCTTCGCCTTTGACGACGATTTTTCGTTGCCGTAATTATCTGGCAGGCTTCCCCGTTTGAACGGTCCTCGTCCGTGCATTCTTGAATAAATATCGCGAAATTAATTAATCTTACTGTTCGGTCTGAACGACGCCTACGCGTTCGCGTTGAAATCGAGTCGGCGAACATTGAGATATTCAGAAGATTAGAATAATTATCCTAATAAAAAATCCATGTCTTTGATTATAGTTTTTACTGAACTTAACCCTTTTGCACTCGAGCGACGACTCTGAGGCACCACTAAAATTTGTTACATCACGTTTTAAAGTTATTTTTATACGAACAAAATTTAGATTTGAAAAATTGTTAAGAGTGTAATCGTTGTGTGACACCCAAGAGACAATTTCATATGCATAAAATGCATTTTGCCATATAAAATAAGAACACTATAAGTTAGAAAAATGATTTTATATTTACAGTTAAAATATTTACGAGTGCAAAGGGTTAAGTCACTTTGCGTGCCAAACATTTGCCCGAACGAAACAGCGAACTCTCCTCGAATTAAACATTCGCGGTACTTGCGACAATCGCAATCGTTTCACGATTTACGATCGATCGAATAGATCAGTATTTTATAATTCTACGCGGTTACAATTCTATGGGATTTGCTAGTTCTAATGGAATGCCTGAAGACAATTAACAACAATTTGATCCGAGAGAAAGATTCGGCCGCGGAAACGAAGAGAACGGTCGAGAGTTAAAATGAATGCAGAGAACGAAAGCGCAGTTTGCCAGGAATGGGAAACATGATCTAGAAGTACTACATCTCTCTCTCTCTCTCTCTCTCTCTCCGTGGATGGTGCAGGGTTCTAAGAATAGCCTTTTGTCTCGCGAGGAAAAAACTGGTGTAATAGCGGAGCATGTAGTTCAATATTGACACGCGAGAATTGACCTTTCACCTGCTCGAGACGAAAGCGCTATTTACCGGGGGTCCTTTGTCTTCGCAACCCCCCTCCTATCGCGTCTGCCAGCACCCTCTCCGACACTCCTCGCCATTTCCACGGTCGCCGGAAAGCAATAACGTTAGACGGGCGACGTCGTCCCGGTGTGAATATCGGGAACGAGCGAAAACGGTCGCCGAGTCCCAGAATTCCCTCGCCTCCTGAATTCTTTCCACGGGGTGTCATTGCGGGAGGACTTAATTTCCTCCGGCGACACCACTCCGCGATCGCTATATGTACTCCTCTGAGTGGCGCGGGACCTCCGTTAGGCCGGAGGAATTTCAAATTATCGACAGAGCTGAATTTTATAGCAATTTTTACCGTGCTCGGTTTTCTATTCGGACGTATTTTGTGCCGACTTTACTTTCGATTTTCGGCCCGTTATTGGTGATGCGCGAACTTATTGTTTTTTTTTTTATTAAATTTCAGATGAACGAGACGAAGTCGACTAGTGTTGGACAGCCCTCTGATTCCTGTTACCGGCCAATAATTGGAGTCGGCGTTTAATGTGAATGAGACAGAAATTTTTATAGAAAATGGACTTTATGTACAATGTGTGTCAGTTGATCCTTCTTTGTTATTTCTGCAAATCTAAGCACAACAAATTCATTAACATGAATTTAAATAGATACAAATTATGTTAACCCTTTACGGTCCAATGCCGCCATACACGCGGCAGAAATCAATGAAACCGTAAAATCTGGCAGGAAACATTGGAAGAATAAAAAATATATCAACGAAGTTTTATTTTTAAAAAATGAATATCTCTTCTCTATATTTGATACAAAAATTTTCAGTAACAAAATTTCTCTTCGTCTGAAAATCAGTCCGGACTTGGCAGTGTGTAAACTGGAAATAAATAGTTTTGGTCCCCTAACGGTTAAATGTGACAAATGTCTCTTTTTTAACTTTCGATTCGTTAAACAAAGTACCCCGATTTTATGGTATCAAACAAGGTACTGCAAATTCTCTCACCGACTAAAATAAAACATTTCATTCGTTACTCGTTCGAAGAACGTCATCCAAACACGAAGGATACAATTTCTTTAATGAAATAAGAACGTCGCTCCTGAGAACATGCATCAGGTTCCCAGAAATTGGCAAGGTTCCGCCCAATCTCCATAATTTCATCTACCACCCAAATTTCATTAAACGCTGAATCCTCCAGCTCCGGTGACGAAACCGGTCCTCGAGACGATCTCCAGCATTCCGTCCCTCGTTTTATCCCTCTTCTACTTTTCCTATTAACAGCTCGTCGAATATGGCCTGTGCAAATCGCCCTACACGCGTGTCCCTTCCCTCGAAAAAAAGCACTGAGTCTTCGTGAGGGGAGGAGAGCTCCGCCCTAGGGGGGAGTCGGGGATGTTTCGCTTCGAAACTGCAAATAGTTTTCTGCGTTAGGAGCTATATAAGAAAGCTCTCTATTTTTACCGATTTATATATTTCTCTCTCTATATGGTCTCTCTCTCTCTCCCTCTCTCTAGGTCTCTCTCCTTCTCTCTATCCCTCTCTTTCTTTAGGTCTCTCTCTTTCTCTCTCTTTAACTCTCTCTCTAGCTCTCTCTCTATGTCTCTCTCTCTCTCACTCTAGCTCTCTCTCTAGGTCTCTCTCTCCCTCTCTCTAGGTCTCTCTCCCTCTCTCTATCCCTCTCTTTCTTTAGGTCTCTCTCTTTCTCTCTCTTTAACTCTCTCTCTAGCTCTCTCTCTATGTCTCTCTCTCTCTCACTCTAGCTCTCTCTCTAGGTCTCTCTCTCTCTCTCTCTAAGTCTCCCTCTCACTCTAGCTCTCTCTCTAGGTCTCCCTCTCTCTCTAGCTCTCTCTTTCTTCGTGTTTGTGTCTACTTTAGGTTTCTCTCTCTTTCCCTCTGTCTCCTTCTCTCTCTCTCTCTCTCCGTCCCGTCTCTCTCTGTTGCTATAGCTCCGCCACGATCGCTCTAACCATCGAACGATGGAAATAGCTCGACCCGTTTTTCGATCAAACCTCCCGCGCGTATTCCCATCCTCCGAGACTACCACCGTGCCAGCCGCTCCTCCGTTTCCATTTGACAAAAAGGCGGGAATTGAAAAATGTAATTAACGATCGACGTTGAACCTTCGCCGTAAAACTTCGGTCCTGGAAATCGGCCAAAGACTTATTCCTCCTTCTCCTCCTCCTTCTCCTCTTCTTGGCGAGCTTTGGAGCGCATCTTTCTGCTTCGTGTTTCGCCCAGGGTCGTCGTAAAACTTCCACGCCGTTCTCAACCGTTTTCGAGATCTTTAAGTGTGACCTGTCTCGCACCCGTCACAGCCGACGTAATTAATTAAAACTCTCCGGGGGATTGTTCGAGTATTCAACGCGGTTACGTCTCGTCCTCGCTCGACTCACGAGCCCCCATCAATATTTTACGCGCACTCTCCAGGCTTTCTCACTAATGTACCGGGAGATAAGTGCAAGTAGAGAGTGAAGATCTATATATGTTGGTCGCTAATTTGGCTAAATAACAATGCTTAGCGGAGACTCGATTGTCTAAATCTTTGATGTCTGAATTCTTTATCAGCCGATTAGGTTGCACAGACATATGGATCAATTTAAGGCGATCTTTGTTCTATTTGTTGTACCAATCGGTGAAGATTTAATCTAACGAGTGAACTCCTCGACGCTGTCGCCATATAAGGAGGTCTGGTTGCGCCAAAAATAATTTGATATAATATCAAATAAATAATTTGATATGATATTTATATATATATTATATCTATATCTATATCTATATATATTATATCAAATTATTTTTATTATATATATTATTTTTATTTTAATTATTTTATTATATCTATATCTATATCTATATATATATATAGATATAGATATAGATATAATATAAGATATTATGATAATGAACAATTTATGAAGAGGAGACAAGATCATTCGAGCTCCGCGACTCGTTTTTACAATTACTAACAATCGACGACTATAAAAACGAGCCACAAGGCTCGAATAATCTTATCGTCTCTTCCCAAATTATCAATATCTTTGTGCACAATTAAAGCGTCAATTAGAGAAACATTATTTTATAGTCAAATAAACCGTATGAAATTGTCATATCCACCGAACACGAGCATAACGGAGAGCCTTCCAGGATAAGAATCGATCAGCGTAATCAAACGATCCTCCCCGAAGTACTAACCTTGTCCAAAGACGTAGGTGACTTCTGCGACGATCGTCGGGGGCGCGTCCTTCGGATCGTCGTAAAAATTCGAAACCTTTTCGAATCCGATTCCGGGTTCCGGGTCGCCGTCCCAGCGAACTAGGTCGTCCAATTCTCCGTGAAACGGTATCCCCGGCATATTAGAACCGAGTATTCCGGCCCGCGATCTCTAAAGCCTGCTGCAGCCCCGTCGCGAGCCGGGCACAGCCGGCTCGGAACGCTATTTCCGGAAGCGGAAAGTCGGGGTTCGTCGCGCGTTATCGATCTACCACCCGAACCGCGCGCGAACCGTTCGCGGTGCGCTCCGTTTTGCGCTTGAAGAGGATGATGGGGCCAGTCGGCTGCGGCTGTGCTATGCCGCGAAACGGCACGATTCTTTTCGAAGCTGGTTCGGAGCACGCAAAAGAGGCCTCCGCGCTAAGAAAACTAAGAGCGGGGAACCTGCGTCATCGCAAGCGCGCTCGTTTGCGCGAGCTGTCGGCACGCGGGTTCCTCGATGTTGCTCCAACCTAGATGTACATACTCGGAACA